AAGTGCTTGTAGTTCTTACTCTTCTGTCGGTCCTATGCGGGCAAAGCGTACCTGCTTCTGCAGCTTGCGGAGTACTTCTTCCTGCGATCGGACCTCCTCCATCTGCTTGCGCAAACCTTGGGTTCACTAGGCTCCTAGCCTAAGGTCAAGAGCCAGAGCAATATGTATTACCGTGCGAGCCATGTGGGAATAGCAGTTCAGCACAGCCGAATTGCCACTCAATCCTCCAGATAAACGATCCCCGTCCCTTGCTCGCGGCATCACTAGGTGACAGCAAGCGACAACACCTGTACCACCAAACGGGCAAGTATCCATTGCACGTCACACTGTCACACACACACACACACTAAGTGCTTTTGCTCGACCATGCAGATTTGTTGACCCGCAACTGTAGACCAAATTGGCCGGGTACTCAAAAATAAAAGGTGTAAGTACAGAGACAGTTCTACACCCGGGATAGACGGCAACACGCAGGCTGGCAAGAGATCCTGCCGAGAAGCGCTTGTCCATCTGCTCGTGCTCTGCCAAGAGTTTCTCCTCCTTCAACAGCCGGATCTTGCTTGCAGCATGTGCTTCGCGAGAGTCAAACTTTGGGATAAAGACTCTTGCGCTATGGCTGGTTGGCGAAGGCCCACCCAGTGAGAAGCAGGCGAGCAAGAGTAAGAGGTATTTAAAATCGACCTGCGTATAAACTTTCTCAATCATTCTGAAGGAGTCCTATCCAGTCCACAGCAGGGCTCCTTCGGATCTTGGGCCGTGTCACTCTTCCTCCCGGGTGCAGACAACTCAGATGATGCAAGGCCCATCTCAATGTCGCAGGCCCATGGCAGCCCTGACAAGCAACAGAATGCCCAGGCCATAAACCCCATTAAGCAGCCATGAACTACAAACCAGACGTCGTCGCCGTCGCCAGGGTCATCATCATTACCACCCTCACGAAGCCTCTCATCATTGTCCTCATCTTCTTCGCCTTCATCCGAGATCCCCAGCCGCACAGAGGCCGCGGCCAAGCTCTTGGGTTTTTAGTACATTAGGCTGCACGTGCAGCTGGCAGGAGTTAGCCGAGTGAGGTACCCTCACACTGGCGATCAATTTTGGCTACGTCCAGGTCGCTTGTGTCAGCGGCATGCTGCCATGTTCGTCACAGGCGTGTCTTTGCTTCTCAAGGACAACCATGAGCTCACGGGACCCTTGTGTCTTGGTCGGTAGAGGGGGGCCTTCAGATTACTTACGTGTTGCCTGCAGGACACGGCCACAAAGCGTGGCTGCCATTGCTCACAGCTTTCCTCAATCAAAGTCAAGTCCTCGTCCTGCTCCTGCTCCGCCTCCTCCTCATCGTCATGATCACATTATCAACATCATCAACATCACCATCATCATCGTCATCATCATCGTCATCATCATCATCATCATCAACATCATCATCAACAACAACAACATAATCAACATCATAAACATCATCATCATCATCATCATCACCATCATTATCGTCAGCACCATCACTATCATCATCATCACCGTCCCTGTGATCGGCGTCGTCGTCCTTGCGGTTAAGATGTAGGCACTACAGTCATCGAGTCCTCTCTCCAAGGAGGTGCTGAAGCTTGGCGCGAAGGCTGCGCCGCAGCGATCGTTGCTCCTCCCGACGCCCGAGGATCCGACTTTCGCGGGTCCCTTTGGGCTTTCGGGCTGCAAGCCCTGAAGGGCCTGAGGAAGTTGCATTAGGTGGGGCCCTTTGGAGCACAGCTGGGACGCTTCACCGGCGAAGGGTGGCTTGGCCAGGGCATGGATTGACAATTCGATGCCACCCAAGTCCTGCGTCCTTCCCCTCGATTCCCCTCGCCAATACGGAAGCCCAAGCCATCAAGAGCCATCTCCTTTCCGAGTTCTTAAAGCCAAAGAGACCTCAAGCCGAAGGCCCCAAGACAGCCTCCAGAGCTCGAAGAACAGCGTCCTGGCTGCAGGAGCTCTTAACACCCTGCAGTCCGTGGAGCTGAAATTCTGAAAGCTTCTGGGATTCCAACTTTGGAAGGGCTGCGGGAACGGCTCAGAAAGACTGGATAGGTTTGACATGATTTGAGGATTGCAGCATTTCGGGCTTCGCAGCTTAGCGAAGCCAACGCTACGGAAGCTGAGGAAGTGACGTCGTCCATCTCTTCAACAGCGCTGTTCGCCGTCGGAGATGGGTCAGCCTGCGTAGAAGAAAATCGGCCCACGCTGTAGGGCCTGGGGGGTTTGGGAAGGCTCAAGTGCAAGGTGGCACTGCAATTCACAGTTCATGTCACAAGGGCCAGCCTTCGTTTCGGCGACTGGTGGTTCCCTCAGCTCTAAAGTCATTTCAACATGTCTGCGCTACTGTAGAACCTTGAGAAATCTCAACCTGCGCATGAACCAATGTTGGAGCCATGCTCCTATCGCTGAGCCTCGACACCCAACTTCTCGAACCCGACATGACTTTGTATAGCTGCAGGTCAGAATCTGTTGCACAGGCGGCATCGGTGGCGGATCTGCAGGCTCCGCCTGCTGAGGCTTGGTGTAGGTGGACACAAGGCTGCGGGTTTCAGCATGACTGTGATGTTGGGATTGTAACCGTGTTGATACTTAGGACTCTAATGTGCAGTGCCGGTGGCGGTGGTGGCTAGCAGTAGCAGTAGCAGTAGCGGTAGCGGCAGCGGCAGCAGGAGCAGGAGCAGGAGCAGGAGCAGGAGCAGGAGCAGGAGCAGCAGTAGTAGTAGTAGTAGTAGTAGTAGTAGTAGTAGTAGTAAGTAGTAGCAAGTAGTAGGTAGTAGTAAGCAGTAGTAAGTAGTAGTAAGAAGTAGTAAGTAGTAGTACGTAGTAGTAGGTAGTAGTAAGTAGTAGTAGGTAGTAGGTAGTCGGTACTAGGTAGTAGGTAGTAGGTAGTAGTAGTAATAGTAGTAGTAGTAGTAGTCGTAGTAGCAGTCGTAGTAGTCACAGTATTAGTAGTAGTAGAAGTAGTAGTAGTAGTAGTAGTAGTAGCAGCAGTCGTAGTAGTCGTAATAGTCGTAGTCG